TGTCGACACTTGGTGATGAGCCGCCCAGGAAGCCAAGACAGGCGGACGCAAAGTTGGAGATGGTGTACAAGCGCCCAGGTTCCAAACTCATCAAACCTCCTACATCAACAATCATCACGTAACGGCACTGGCCTTCCCAAATAGGGAATCTGGGAGAAGACAAGCTCACACAAGTGGAGTCGGGCCGGACGGGGCTCCGGTCTGCTCGGACTCCCGTACGGACTTTATGGTCTTCGGCCATGGAGAAGTTGACCCTTCGCTCCGGCCTCGCTGCTTCCATGCCTACGACTCCCACCACCACGTCCGGCCCCCGTCCAAAACCTAGCACTCGCCAAACTGAATCCGCGCCGAAGTGGGGCGATGGAGCGGCTGGCAACTGACTCGCTAACGGTTGCTTCACTTGGGAGCCGCTCCGTTGATCTGGAGCACATAGAGGTTCAGAGCCGCTGCTTCTTATCGACAAGACTCAAACCACAGTCGTGGTGTTTTACCTCAGGTCCGTACTCTAGGACGAGTTGAGGGTTTTTGCCGTGAAAGGGGGATACCCATCAGTGTCGCGAGATTCAGCCCACAGGGCGGTCTCGTCTTGCCTCGTCTAGTTTCTTTCTTTTTTTCTCTCTCGCTTACTTGATATCTCTTGCTGTTATGAGGCGATGTGTTGGCATAACAGATATCTTTTCGCAACGCCGGCAGGCTGGGGGTTGCAAAAACACGCCATGCTGCCAGTGCTCGGACTCTTACTCAACAAGAGTGTTTTAGGCCTCTTTTTTTTCTTTCTCTTTTTCTCTCGGCCGGGGCTGCAAGAATAAGGAGAAAGACATGCGTACGCATGAAGTGTGCCCACGCACGTTGGGCTGACGAAACAACAAAGCAATGCGGTTTAGCATCTAGAACATAGCAAAGTCCGTCATGGAGTGGCTGCGGCGGGCGCATGAGGCCAGAGGAGACCAAATCTCCTATACGCCAGCCACCATCACGGACTACGACACGAATCGAGAGGGCGTCTGCATCTATGGCGGGTTTCCAGGGGGCCGGTGCTGGCCCTAAGAGACTAGGAAGCGAGAATCCAACCAGCCGGGATTTCGTGGGGCGATGGGGATGTGGAAGAACGATGAATTGCATCCTTTTTCGAACGATAGGGCGGATGCCAAGAGTCGGACGGTCACTTACTACACTACTACTGCAGCCTACGTACGTCTGTCTACGCACGCACGCGCGACGGTGTTTTCCCATTCGCATCTATGTGCATTGGCATTGTTTACTCTGGCCGCGCAAGAGCCCCCGTGTGCCCGGCCGTCTCCGACAATGTGGATGCACAGATGAGTTTCCAGATCCCGATGGATCCTGATCCTACCGGAAGATCTCCCTTTTGTTTCCAACCTGGGGCCTCCTGGTTTCCCCTGGCCCAACGTGAGAAGTTGCAAGGGGGCCGGCAAACAGCAATCACAACACAACACCAGAGGTTTGTTTACACTGAGGGAGTTCCAAATCACCACTCCCTTCGCTTCACTTCTAGCGCCGTGGCGGACATTGGACGCAAAGCCACCAGATCAGCCTCCATGTCACTACCCGCCCCTTTACGAAGGATAGCGACCTCAATGACAGCTACACCGGCGTACGGGACCTTGCAGCCTACGCTTGTGGCCGTGAGATGATGGCACGAGATTACCGTCGCCGGCCGAAGCCCGGATCTCGATTTGCTGCAACAAGACAGGCCGCCCATTACTGAGGGTATCCCGCGTGCAGGATTCACGGGAAGGCCGTCATGTTGTGCAACCGAGCTTAAGATTAGTCCAACCTAAACAGTTGCTTTTTTCGTTCCACCCTCCTCGGTCATGGTTCCTAGAAAGGAATGACTGCTCTGTACGGATACTGTACTGTACTTGCAGACTGCAAGACGACAATAGGTAGGGCAAAAAGCTCCGCCTTTGTGATAACGCCACAGAGCCGGCTCAGGCGCTGGAAGCGTCTCGCGACGCCGGCGGTTTTGCGAGTCTTTGTGCCCAGCCTTGCCGAGATGCCCTCATCACCCTTTGTTTACCGTCTCGTCGCGTCAAGACCGTCAGAGGCACGGATGCCCAATCTCCTTGAGTCAGCAACATGTGACAGCGTGGGGAGAAAGGGTGGGAAGGGGAGAAGAAAAATCGACGCGGCAACCAACGCTTTTCGCCTTTGCAGACACAATTGCCCACATGGCCTTTTCTTCCCTGCCTACGAAGTTCTCCCCTTCCCCGCTTGACGGATGAGCGGGCTCAATGTTGGCTGCCCTTGGGCATCCCTGGAGAGCTCGGGGATGGTGCGATGACAGCCGTCAACCGAGACATTTCCAATCAGCTCCAACAGGGCAACACCGGCGTGCTACAAGTCCGAGGATAGGCTAACGTGGAGCGGCGTGATCGCTGGGCGCGCTTGACAGTAGGAAGACAAGGCAAGACAGGGCGGCGCCCGTTTGTCTCACTGGGTAGCGCAATCGGGACACGGGGGGCAGTTGATGCCGAAAAGCAATGTTGGACAAGACAAGACAAAAAGAGCATGAACTGCATGCAGCGAGAAACCGCGTGCTCAGTCAGAGGTGGCTTTGAGAGGTCTCACTTGTGTGGGCTACGGGTGGAGATGAGGCGTGGAAGGTCGCGATGATCCAGGCCGGACAATGGTGACAAAGACGGGAGCCCTTGTCTCGCCCTGAGTGTCTGAGTGTCCGGGTGCCTGGGCAGCTGTGTGATGAAGGCTTCATCAGGGATCTACCACAGAGTCTCCCTCGAGCAGGTGGTTTCCGCACTCGACGGGATTTCTTCACTGGGTCTCACTGCACGTTGAGAGGCCGCTTCGTTTAGGCGTGTCGATCATCGATCATCGTGGGTCAGGACGAGATGGAGATCCCCAGGGAGATGAGATGAGGCCAAGTGCCGAGGGACAGGCAGCTGATGATGTCAAGATGCCCTCTCTAGGGCGACGATCGCTGGCCTAACGTTGTCTATTTTCCCTGCAAGTCCCAACCAACGCCCGTCCGTCTATCAACTGAAGATTCTGTCACAATGATGAAATCGAGCGATTTCCTCCCTGGCGGATTCCATCTTGTCCAGCAAGCCCTCCCTTGGGCGCAGAGTTCCACTTGCCATCTCCTCCCTCTCTAGCTCTACCAGTATTGGACTTAGAGTCTGAGGGCATTCGAAACCTCAATCGTCACCTTGCCTCCCTCGGTCCGAAGCACCTTGACGGAGGTTAGATCCTGGACCACCCAGTCTGGCTCGGCGGCGACGACCTGCTCGACGGTATGGCTCGTCACAAGCCCGAGGACCTTGCACCCAGCCGCCTTGCCCGCGCGAATTCCGGCCGGACTATCCTCGAGCACGAGAACCTCAGCATCCTCCCTTTGGAGGTCGAGACGCTCGCGGCCGAGGCGATAGCATGCGGGGTCTGGCTTCCCGACCTCGACAGACTCGGCTGTGACGAGACGATCCGACGGCGGTGTGGGCAGGTCTCGAGCACGGAGCCATCCGGTTACGAGGGGTACAGTACCGGAGGTGACGATCGCCCAGGGGCTAGACTCGGCGATGAGAGCTTCGAGCATGGAGCGGGCGCCTGGGATCTCTACAGCTTCATGGCCGTGGTACTTAGGAAGCCGGCCTTCCATCTCTCTTACGTCTGTTGAAAGATCAGCAGCTACTCGCCGTGGTAGTTCCGTGGGCCGAGCCTAATCAACTGGGGAGTAGATTGATGCTCAAGAGTGAGGCGGTTGGCCTGTGTGTCTGTCTATGGACTGGTGGAAAATAACGCAACTTACAGTCCCAATTGGCCTTTTCGGGGGCTAGGATTTTGAGGATGTCTATGCTGCGGCGTCCATGAGAAGTCTCTAGGATGACCTCGGGCGCAACTCCTATCTCGTTGCCGATTCTGGTGGGATGTCAACTGGTCGGTCCGATGGCGGGCAACGCGGATGCAAGTGCACTGTACTCACGTTTCCCAATGCTTAACTACTGCTTCTGTGGAGTCGATGATTGTTCCATCCATGTCAAAGAGGAAGCCATCAAAGGTGATCTCCTGCGGCGGCAGAGAGTAGTCTGGGAGTGAACCCATGATGTGTGTATGTGTTTTTGGTGTTGGGGTGGTGAGTCAAAGGTGACGGGCTGATGATAAGGCCAATTTCGTAACGTAGTTGGGTAAGTCGGCTTCTAGTTTCGTTGTATGTAAGCTGTGTAAGGTGCGGGTTGGCTATTTTATATCTTGTCGTTGTCGCCGTGATGATGAAAAGGTTTTGGTAAGTATGGATGAATAGGTGAAGCCAAGGTGACCTCGTGGTTGGCTCGTTTTGGTAGCTCCGCTCACCGAGGCGGTATTTCCGCAGAGGTAAAGTGGGGAGCTGACGATGATATTGTCATCAACGAGTTAAAGATGTTGATTATAAAAGTTTGATGATGAATGGCTTTTCATTTGACATAGGTGACGATATTTGGCTTGTTGTTTTATCGCTGATAGGTCCGTGGGCTATTGTTTCGGTGCATGCGCAGGGTGCTGGCTAGGATCAAGCGTCCATGTTAGCGATGAAGGTGTTCAACCATACTGCACAACCAACATTGACGAATGCATGTACGGACAAGATCTCTTCGGTCAGGAACCTGACTAAAATTTCTACTGGGGCGATGATTATCTAGGCAGCGGGTGAAGTTCAAGTTAGCTCTAGTATGGGAATGGAAAGATGGTACACCTACTACATCTGACAGCCGAACTACCTAAAGATAAGGCCGACAGGTGGTTGCAGCACATCAGGCTGGCAATAGACCAATCAAGCCAAACACGCCCGAAACCAACTGCACATTCACTACTACTGGTTCATATAATCACCACAACTATATAGCCGGAATGTGAGTTCAATAGGAATGAATCCGGAACTCAAGTTTTGTGGTAACTACCCTAGACCTTTTAATTCCGGTTCGTTGCCGCTTTAGGAAATCAGTATATCAAGATGCGGGGAGGGTCTTTGGGGGGTTCAAGCCTCCTCTCGACCAAAGCACCTGCGTCGGGCATCTTTGTACTAAAGCGACCCGAGCTGGGACGTGCTGTGCCTGGAAGCAGCATCTATCCGTGGCTAGACGGGGTCCAGTGGCAGTTCTCGTTGTCGGTGGTGCTTGCTGCCGTGTGTCCTCGACTGACAACCCGCTCTCCCAGCCTCAGGTGATGACGAACACTGTCCCCCCACGGGTATAATAACCTTGGATATCCCCCCATCTCCTGCCCACAGCAGGAACAGGAATCATACACGATGGGTTCGCAGATAGGGGATCCGGATGAATTGACGGTTCTCGTCACGGGCTTTGGCGTACGTCTATCCCCTTCCCTCCCCCGCATACGCATCACGACGTCACTGTCACCGTCACGCGAGATACACGAGGTTGTTTGATATCACAGCTGCTGACACGGGTTACGAGCAGCCCTTTAGGGAGCAGTATCCCATCAACCCCTCGTGGGAGATTGCCAGCGGCCTGCCCTCCCACCTGCCGCCGCTGCGGGCAAAGAACCCAAACTCGCGGCACGTCGCCGTTGCGCTGCCCAAGGTGCGCATCCTGGTGCACCCGGAGCCGATCCGCGTCAACTATCGCGTCGTGAGGGACCTGGTGCCGACGTTTTACAGCGGACAGCGGATTGACGTGGTGATCCACATTGGCATGGCGGGCCCCCGGCCGTTTTACTGCATCGAGAGGAGGGGGCATCGTGATGGGTACAAGCACACTGACGTTGATGGTGAGAGGCCTGATGAGGAGGAGGAGCGTAAGCCTGGGAGCGATTGGCCGTGGAGGGGGTTGCCTGAGGAGATTGAGACGGAGTTGGACGTGGAAGATGTGCTTGGGCGATGGCAGGCACATAGTTCGGTAAGTCGTGATGAGGAGGAGGATTGCGTTTGCCGATGCTGATACTATCGCAGGAGGATTTGGACCTTCGTATTTCCGAGGACGCGGGGAGATATCTATGCGACTTTATCTACTACTCGAGCCTCGCCGAGCTGTGGAAGTTACAGCGGCCTAGAAAGGTGGTGTTTCTTCATGTGCCGGCCGACGCATCGCATCAAAGCATCGAGACAGGGCGAGAGTTGGCTGTGAATCTGATACGGTCCATTGTTGAGAGCGAAACGGACAAGTCGCGGGAGAAGTAAGGGAGGAACATGTCAGCATGTATGCATACGGGAGTTTGTTTCTTTTTGTCTCTATCAATGACATCACAAGCCGAGATTTTCTCACTGCAAAACGTAATTCGGCGACTTGTTATGCATCGTTCGCCGACCTGATGAGGGTATCCAATGGAACCCGGCTTACAAAATATTCTGCGTGATAGGTTGAATTTAGTAATCATCCCCCGGACCTCGGAGATGCCGCCGCGGACTGGATTGCGGAAATCGGGGATGGGGAATATATACCTAGACCGGAACCTGATAAGAACCCAACTCCACCTGAGGATATATAGAACTGGACTTTGCATCTTTAAACTACAATTACTCACATAAACTTGACTCTGTTATTAAACCATCACAATGTGCAAGAAGGCTACCTGCGGAACCTGCAGTGAGTACAACTCCCCTCACCAAAAACACCTCCCACTAAACCCCCCCTCTTAGACAAGACCTCCTGGTGGGGATGCGGCAGCCACATCTCCTCGGTCCTCGACAGCGTCCCTGCCGCTGACCGCTGCGAGTGCGAGCCCAAGGTCGAGGTCGGGGGAACATCTTACCCTCCCATGGCTGCGTCGCCCAACTGACTGATCCGCAACGCTGCTGCCCTGGTGCTGTGGACGCGTGGGAAGAAGGCTGTGTGGTCGCCTACTGGTGTTGTTGAAGAGGCGCTGTGAGATTGAGATGCGTGATTATGGAATGAATTGATGAGGCGTGGCGTTGGGAGGTGAATAGAAAGATTACCTGGAGATGGGCTCGGTATCGTGGAGTTGGGTTGAGTTGAGTTGCCAAAGACAAGTCGAATAGAATGTCCACATGCCAGTCACAAGCCGTTTTATCAAAGTGAACATGTCCCAAAGTATATATATATCTGAGATCTCCAACTACACCCTCATTCTCATCTCCTTCTCCCACCCCCACCAGCACCAGCATCACCCCGCTCAGCCAAACTCACCACCTCCTGGATACCAGCCGCCTCCTGCTCCTCCTCCAATGCCACAATCTCTTCACGGCAATCCCACCACTTTTCTTCACTGAGCTCGTACGCCTTGGCCTTGATCTCCTTGATGGCCATGGTCTCGGGCTGGATGTTCTTCCACCGGAGGCTCGTCATCAGGATCTCCTGCCACTCGGCTGATGTGCGTGAAAAGAACTCGCGTCGGCTCTCGAAAGGCTGTCATATTGTTAGAATGATCTCGAAACGGGGTGAAATATGATTTGGAAACTTACTCTGGGGTGTGGGAGTCCGTCATCCACAGAAGCAGCTGTGGTCTCAGTCTCGTCATCTTCCGATGCGGCTGTCGAAGACTCCGAGGAAGCCTCTGAAGAAACCTCGGACACTTCATCCTGCTTCTTCTTGCGCTTGCTCGGTGTAAACGTTTGAGTAGACTCTTCCTCTTCCTCCTCCTCTTCATCCTCGTCGTCCTCGTCGTCTTCATCATCCTCATCTTCAGACTCCTGCAATGATTATTAGCTTTGGCGCCGTAAGTAGAGAGCACCCAACTCACGATCCAGTCCTCGACAGGCCGGGTAAAGATCTCCTTGCATCCATCCATCTTTCCTAGATCAATCGCGTACAGATCATCAAAGGTAAACTCTCGATCCCCCTTTTCAAAGGTACCGCCGTAGATGTAGAGAACATCATCCTGGACAGCCAGCTGAGCGTTAAATCTCATATGCGGGGGTTCCATAGTCACTGGCATTTCCCTCGCTGGCTTCTCGTCCTCTTCTTCCTCCTTCTTGACAAGTTCAATGTCATCAGCGTCCTCAAGCGAGGCGCCCGTTTCAAGGGCGGCAAGTTGCCTGAGAAGCTCCTCTTCGTTTGCCTGAGCTCGTCCACGACGTCCACCTCGAGGCTCCGGGGCGGACTTCTTTTGCTGACGAGGCTTACGTAGACCCATGGGCATGAAGCGGTTGCGCTCAATGTTCCAGGCAAACAACTGGTTGAAGAACTCACTGTCCATACCCTCCTCGCTCTGCTCAACATCGTGCACTCCGCCAAACAGGATGCCGCGACCCTTGTGCCAGGTCATAGTGGCTCCAGCTCGAGTAGGGTTCGGCGCGTTGGCCGGCTTCTTTCGTCTCTCCCAGCGAACTGTAGGGGGAGTGTTGGGGCTGGCGTCGGTAGGGGGCTGGGTGATTCTGAGGTAGAAGCAGTCTTCGTGAACCTTGGGGATGAGAACGTTTCGCTGGGCTTGACTAGGTCCCTTGTTGCCCTTTTGCTTGACATTAACTGTCGCCTTGACTCGCGAGTATCCTCCATAGAGGGCCGCGCCCTGCTCATGGGGAAGCAGGGTGAAAGATGATCGAGCGTCTGGCTTGAGCTGCGCAGGAGGCAGCTGAGGAGAGTGCCATACAAAGTTGACGGTGTCAAAGATCCAGAGGTCAGCCAGATACTTTGTCTGATTCGAAGTATCCTGGAAACCACCAAAAAGAATAATATACTGCTTCCAGTATGTCATGCGGTGACCACTTCGAGCAGAAGGGCTCTTGTCCTTGCCCTTGACCTCAATCTTGGTCCACTCCCTCGTCGCAGGCTCTAGCCTCCAAAAATCCGAGTAATGATGAAAAGTCCCCTGCTTGGGAGAAGAAAATTCTCCGCCAAAGAGGTAGACGTGGTTTGGGTTACCAGCTCTGGTCCAGGCATGGCCAGATCGAGGTAGGGGGGCGTTGGGTGAGGTGACGCAGCGCCACTCATCACGGCTGATGTTGTAGATGTTCAAGTCATTGTAGAACTGGGCGAGAGAACCATTAAAGTACTCTCCACCAAAAAGCAAAAGAGTGTTGCTATCATGGGGAGAGGCCATCAAAGTCGACGCAGCTCGAGCCCTTGGCGGCTCCTCACAGACTGTCTCGGTGATCTTGAGGAACTGCTCCTGCTGACGACGATACTCCTCAAGCACCTCATCAAGATCAACATCCTCAGCGTCACTGCCCTCAATCTTGGCAGCCTTAGTCTTGGCCTTCTTTTCTCCCTTGCTGGCCTGCTTGGCCGCCTTCTCAGCCTAATAGAGGGGGTCAATATTTCAGCGTCGAACGATGGAGGGGCAATAATTTGGATGGAGGGGTAGAAGAGACATGGAGGGGCAAAGCATCTTCGCACCTTTTTGGCCTTTTTGGCGTCGTTATTCTTCTTCTTGTCCTTGGCCATTTTCAAGGGATATTTCTTGCACTGTGGAGAAGTATTGGGAAGCTTGGGATTTGAGGCGAAAATCCTGCGCGTGGATGGGGGTTGCTCGAGGTTTTGATCAAGTCAAATTCTACCATTCACGACACAGTGTCATTTGCATGACATATACTGTATTTCAACTCAACGGCTGGTGCAAACTTGACGAAGAAAGGAAATGGGAGTTTTCTAGAACTGACAAAGGTTAAAGTAAATAAAGAGGAAAATATTCATCGTCTCAAGATTCCATCTCAAAGGTCTTTAACGTTGCACAGATCGTGCATGCTACAGGTCGTACAAGCCGCGCATCTGGAAGCATCAGTATGACCTAAGCTCTGTCTGTAAGTGAATAAGAGCAGTTGTCCCTGTACTTTAATTCGAATTATATGACGCTTGTTCTATAAATGATATCTGAAATTACACTCTTTGACTGCCCTCACAATCGTGGGATCCAGCTGCTGGACACTGAATATTCCCACATGTCGAATAATCACCTTCACTCAAAATGGCCAAGACGCCTTCCAGAGGTACCTGACCTATTCATCTTTCTGGCACCACTGGCTTTGGCATTCACTCGCTCGCTTGTTTCGGATAGCTTCCTGGTAGGTAGGCCACCATGGCCTTGCTGGCACCCTCCATGCAGTACTGGACCACCTCGACCTTGCGATCAGGAGGCGCCAGCTTGGCAATTTGCCGAATGTCGCTCGTCCGAGGAAGGAAGAGGGCATGATCCAGTCTCTTGTATGCATTGTGTAGATCGGCAAGGTTATACGGCTGCATGTCGTACAAGTTAAACACCTCGTCGGTACGATACCCGGGACCTCCCCATGGTGGGCTTGCAAATAGCACCGTCTCATCCAGGTTGACCCTTAGGTCTGGATGGAGCTCCTCTGGGTGGTTGAAGAGCTTGTCAAGAAACTCGAAACTGTCACCGAGGACCCATGTGATGATGCCTGGTTCAATTCCGTAGACCTTGGAGTTGTTTTGGGCGCAGGCGAGAGTTGAAGGGTCGCGTTCAACTGAGATGATGCGGCTCCATCGCTCTGAGAGGGTGAAGGCGATGGTGTTTCCGCCGGCGCCGGCAAATACGTCGATGAGAATATGCTTCTTCTTGTCGGTACCATACATATCATGTGCGACTTGACTAAGGACCTGTTAGACACAGTGACCATGAGAATGAAGAGGAGACTCACTTGGCTACGGGCTCAGGAGTAACACCAAACCAGGCATCATCTGTCATGTAAACGCCATAGTCGTATAGTGAAAATATGGAGTATCGTTGGGCGAAATATCTGAAAAGCATTAGTAAAATTCAGTCTGAAGGAGGGCTCTGTAATATCTCACTTTTGAATGTCCCAAGGCACCTCGTGTTTACCCTCATAATGAAAGCAATCATCATTGAGAGGGAGCTCCTCTGCTGGGCTGATCGAGTACTCTGCATCCCCCGACGCCATCTCCACCTCTTGGCTGCCCATGATATTCACCTCGTTTGATGTAGAAAGATCTGATCAGGTATCATCCTGCGTCAAGTTTGAAAAAGTTTAACCTTGAGACACTCGTGACGACGGGAGGCAGCTCATGAAAAGGATGGATGAAATTCAACGCGAGGCTGCCAAATCTAGCTCCCCACAGTGCCCACCCACATCAGGACTAGCGCCTTGGCAACCAGCGCCAGAGCTGCAAGGCTGTGCAAGTTGGTGACAGCTTGCTCCACGACCCGCCCTTGGAGCTGCAGTATCGCTGTCCTTCTAACCCAAGACAAGCAGCTTTCAACACCCTTCTCCAACCTTATTGACATTACGACCGACATATCGAACCTCTTAGAGCGCTATGTTTAATGCGCTGAATCGTTTCATCTCGCGCTTGGACGGAGATGTCCAGCAGCAGAGGCGAGAGGAACGGGGCTCTTTTGGCTTCCAGGTCTTGAGAAACACCAACCTTGAGCTTGCTGTCGAGCCCTGGTTTGACTTTATTGTTGGCATCAACGGAAGACCTATTGTACGCACTCTACTTAACTGGCTATCTAGACAAACCCCCGCTAACACAATCAGGACAACCCCGAGCCCGCCTTGTTCTCTCAAGAAGTGAGGAACTGCGCGGGCAGCACAGTCACCCTCGGATTATGGAACGCAAAGGTAGAGATACCCTTTGTTCATCTCTCTAACAGCCGACTCACCATTCTATAGGGCCAACGGACTAGAGAATTGCACGTCTCAGTTCCCGTGGACACGGCGTCGCTCGGCCTCTCCCTCCAATACGCTCCGCTTGCTCTCGCCGCCAACATCTGGCACGTCCTCGATGTCCCCGCCAACTCCCCCGCTGATGTCGCCGGCCTCTTGCCCTACAGCGACTACATCCTGGGCAGCCCCGAGGGTGCTCTGTATGGCGAAAGTGGTCTGGGTGAACTTGTCGAGGACTTTATCGGTCGGCCGATGCGCATCTGGGTTTACAACAACGAGTACAACGTCACGAGGGAGGTCACAATACAGCCTAGCCGGGATTGGGGTGGTCAGGGTGCTTTGGGCTGCGTTCTTGGTTACGGTGCCCTCCATCGGATACCACCTCCTCTGAGCGAGCCTGTCGATGCACCAGGCGAGACCATGTTTGATGGGGGTATCAACGAGAAGAGCGCAGACATCTTTGTGCCTGCTGTTGTGCCTGCTGTTGGGCCTGCGACTACAGAGACACCGCCTCCTCCTTCTGGAGATTTCCTCGTCCCAGCTCAGATGATTGGCACATCTCCTGTGAGCGCGCCGCCAAGAGGAGGACACAAGAAGAAGGAACGTCACGGTCACAGTCCCAACAGGATGATGGACGACTACTTTAAGGAGGAGGAGGAAAAGAGCCGAGCCGTTGACAATGCTCCATCAACTACAGGCTCACCACTCCCTCCTCCACCAAAAGCACACGGTCCCCCCAGGGCGTCTCCCAAGCCGGAGGCACAGGCGGCTGGAGGTGAAGCAGAATGAGTCCATGGCAAAGTAGCATGCATGTATAAATGATTCCCCCCTTGTTGACGTTGACCTGATCTATTTCCTCGCTTTCTTGCTGGCAAACTTTTTTAAAGACTTTCGTGAAATGCCGTCTAGTATTGTACACTGCCTGTTGGGTCCGACATGTCCCCCAGGAAGCCCCTATTCCACATGTAGGGCGACTCTGTCCGTTCTCGATGCTCTAGTTGATGAAGTTGACGCAGAAGAAATGCAGGATCAAGCTGCAGACGACGTAGTCGGCGAATGCTCTGGGGAAGAGTTAGATAGATACTGAGAAAGGGCAGTTGGGAAACGAACCTCTCGGGAGACACTGAAGGGAACTCGGTCTTGTTGGACTGGCTGGTCTGAACTCGCAATGAAGCTGTGCACCACGTCAGCACCCCCTTTCCTTGAATCTAGATACGAATACATACCCGTCAGGACAAACTGTCCAACCGTAGCCGAGAAACCAGACAGGAAAGCGTTGAAAGGCTGTGTGCTCGTTAGTATCTGGTGCGTCTCGCATGATGCGCCCGGAACCTACGTAGTTGCCAGCAAGCACGCAGTAGAGGAACTGGAGAGCTCCGACGGCCACGAGAAAGACGAGGAAGACGTCAATCAGCTTGGTGCGCTGGGGGGTATCCTGGATATAGTGGTCGTAAATGTTCTGCAGCACCTTGTCCCAGCTATCGCCGCTCTTCTTAGCCTTTGGCTGAGAAGCTGCGGCGGGTGCGGCAGCGCTGGCCTGCACAGCAGCGGCCGTGGGGGTGATGTCGCGGACGTTCTTCTTGGGCGCCATGATGTGATCTCGATCGAAGGAAGGGATTGGAAAGTTGGAGTTGATCGGTCGAAGCGGGCACGTGTAGCTGAAGTTGGTGATGGATCGCGGCTTGGAGATAGTTGGTGGTGGTGGTTCATGCTGGTGCAAGCCAGAGCTCCAGATGGACACGAAAGCTCCAAGCTTGGTGGAGACGTGATTGGCTGGATACACGACGCTAGAATCCCGGGGTCGGACCCACTTTCGCCGACCCGTTGATGTCGTCAACTTGAATGTCCCGAGCTCCGACGAGTTTCCATCTGTCTTTGGTATTTATTCGTGTTCAAACTTGGAATTGATTCTTCTTCACTTGAAACTAGCATATAAAGCTGATCAATTACCCACGATATCATCCAATTGAACTAGAAACACTCACAATGGTTGGTCTCCTCCTTCATCTCCTGTCTCACTCACTGACACCTGTCATAGGCAGCTCCCAACTTCCACGACCTCGAGATCCCAGCCTATGTTTTGGGTGCCGTGACTGCCGGCGGCGGCATCATGGGGTATGCGCGGACGCGGTCCGTTCCATCCATTGTCGCAGGCTGCGCTGTTGGTCTCTTGTGTAAGTCAAGGCCACGTCGTCAACCAATCTTCAGCCACTGACTGTCGCAGACGCCCTTGGCGGGTACCGTATCCAGAATGAGCAGTCCTACGGTGTTGAGCTGGGTCTTTTAGCGTCAATCATCCTTGGAGGATCTGCCTTCCCTCGAGCAATCCGTCTGAGGAAGCCGGTTCCCATCCTCCTCAGCATCATCTCGGCGTTTGGCCTGTTCACTTTCGGTACTGCTCTGCGGAGGAAAGCTTAGGATTTTCGAGTGAGGAAATAGTGCGATCAATGCAGTCTGTTATTTCACTACAATCACGGGTTTGTCGATAGCAAGGTCTTGGCGCCGTACAAGTCCTCGGCAAATAACGCAAGGAGTCAACTGAAGCCATGTCCAATATTGCCCGAGTGCCATGAACGGAAATCAGCAATGTCTTTGCGCGAGAGACACTGATTGTGATGGACTCAAGTTTGCCCCTGGGATTGGTCCCCCTGAGAAGAGGTGGCTTGAGGGGCTGTGAATCTGGTATGCTTCAAAACTCGCCCTTGACTGTGTCATTGGCTTATTGTATTTGCCTCGATCGTTGTAGGTGTATCAATCACAATCGTTAGAAATGTTGAGGTTTCAAGTACTGATTAAAATGCATTCGTGGGATGCAAGAGAGTGATCAATTATCTAGGGCGATGGGCATCTGCTGGCGTATTTATCAAACGGGAGGAGACCTGAACTTGGCAAGATTGGACTCCTGCTCGAGGAATCGGCGTTGTCTTTGTCGAAATCTTCAACATGAGGGTTCTACTCAGCCGTCTGATAGCTTTGGCTATCTTTCTGCCGCTTGGTGTGGGATTCACCATTGTAACCAATTCTGATGGCAACACATTGGGCAACGCCATGATGCCTGGCTCCGGGATAACTCTCGTGTCAGGTACATACACTGGGGCCTCTGTCGCGGCGGGGACATTCAGCGATGGGCCCTTTGGTATCAGCTCCGGTACAATCTTGACGTCGGGACGAGCAGATGGAGCAACGGTAGCCGGGTCAGACAACGACAACGGCCAGCCAGGATACATGGGGGGCAACACATTCGACGCGGCGGTCTTGAGTCTCGACATCACGATAGCTCCACCGTTTACCGGTTTTGAGTTGGAATTCGCCTTTGCGTCCAACGACTATGGCGGGTGAGCTTTGAGCGTGGCCCTGTGTTCCTTGAGAATGGCGTGGCTAATTGATCCCAGCAATAATGACGCTCTGCGTGTTGACGTAGCCAGCAACAGTTTGACGTAAGTTGCGAACCTTTATTCATCTTCCACAAGGATGAAGCGGCTGACAATACTAGAACAATCTTCGACCTTGTCAATACTTTCATGGACCCTCCATATTCCATCAACCCCCCCAACAGTCTGACGGCGTACGACAAATCCAGCCCGCCTGTGCTCATAGGGTTTGCGACGGGCTCCGGAGCGTTCAATGTCAAGATCGCCGTGTATGACCTGAACGACGGGTTCGAGGACAGCGCCGCTCTCATCCGGATGAGAGGCTGTGAGAATTGTGCTGCGGGCCCAGTAATCAACTATGAGACAAAGACGGTCACGGTTGGCCCCGGGCAAGCAGAGTATTTCTCCACGATCAAGGCGTCTGGGACTGCTACAGGATACTACGAAAAAGGAGTGGCAGCAACTACAACTGCAGACACGACTACGACTGAAGAGACAACCACGACTGCAGAGACGACGACAACTGCAGAGACGACTACGACTGAAGAGACAACAACAGCAGAGACAACTACAACTGAAGAGACGACTACAACAGCAGAGACAACTACAGAATTTACTACAGAGACAACCACATACTTCACCACAGAGACGACTACAGACTTCACCACAGAGACGACTACAGACTTCACCACAGAGACGACTACAGACTTCACCACAGAGACGACTACATACGTCACCACGGACACAACAACGGTCCCGGATACAACTACGACTATGGACACGACAACGACCATGGATACGACTACAGCTATAGACACAACAACAACTACATATACAACTACGGCTGAGGATTCGACCACCACAGCGGATTCAACTACCACCACGGATTTGGAGACTACTACAGATTCAACTACGACGACCGATATCACTACAACTGCCGATACAACTGTGCCTACCGATTCAACCGCGGTTATTGATTCGACCACAATCATCGACTCAACTACGACAACCAACCCAACTGAGGACTTGAGCACATCGATCGACTCAACCACGACTTTCCAGTCAAGCGAAAACACCCAAGGCTCAACTACAGATGATGGAGAATCGACAACAACCACTTCAGATTTGGCCACCACCGACACAACCGAGAATCTTGGGGAGACGACCTCCACAGCCATCACTACCTCTGCCCAAATCCCTTCCATAGCATCAACTGAAAGCGACACAACCACAGCTATACTCTCCACCTTAGAGTCGTCGTCCGCCTTGGAGGCCACTCCTACCTCTCAGTCTATGACTGAAACGACGCCTGATTCTACCAGCGACATTTCGACACTGGAGTCAAACGAGCCTGAACCACAACCTTCTACTGCTAGCGAGCTATTTACATCCTCCGTAGACACACCTACAGGGAGTGTTGAGCCTCCTAGTACGAATACGCCAGTTGGTCAGTCCTCCACCAGCGCCCTTTTACCAGAGACCCTGTCGCCAGACACCTCTTCTATCTCGTTTCCTCTACCAGAATCTCTGTCTACAGGCTCGGACTCACAGGCCCCGTTGAGCACAACATTGTCGACCCAAGACTCTGTGACCGTCGACTTGACAGCATCTTCGTCACCCCTTGCCACGAGCATCTCGGCTGATTCTTCTATTCTTTCATCTCCAGACTCAACCTCGACACTCTCTGGCTCCACCCCCAATGCTTCAAACGCGCCAACTATAGAACGATATGTATACTTTGGGTGTCTATCGTCTGTGCAAGGCTATCCGAGCTTCAACATCGTCGGTAGTGCAACTGACATGACACCTCAAAAGTGTATATCGTTGGCCGCTGGACGGCGCTTTGTGGGCGTCCATCTTACGTTAGTAGCCAAGCTTGAAGCTTTAGTATGTGACTCTGACAATTGTTTAGATCTTGCTACGCGTCAGATTCCTTGGTTTCTTCTACATTGACTCAGGATGCCAGTTGTGATCTTCCATGCCCAGGGGATCCAACACTCTTCTGTGGCGGGTTTTTGAATGCGGATGGGGGTATGAGCAAGAGACACCGACTTGAACGACGCATCAGTCCCCGAGATGCACCGCCGGGCATCTTGCTCACCTTGTATTTGTTTGCCGACGCCATTATAGAGTCCTCGAGCGAAATCGCCGCGGTGAGCACATCGTCGACTAGCCCTGCTCAAACTGTAGCCTCGCAGTCGAACTCTGTGGACTTCTCGATCAGTCCAACACTGAGCGAGCCTGTCCGAACTTCCGCAGCTGGTCCCGGGGATGTCTCGCTCAGTTCGACGCTAAACAACCCTGACCAGACATCCGTTTCAGCTGTTAATTCTGAGGATATCTCACTCGAACCGACGCTGATAGGCCCTGACCAAACCTCGGCCTCGATAGGAGATGCGTCACTTACTGACTCTCCTCCTTCTGTCCCAACCACATTCGTGCCCGGTGTGAACCCACCTCCTCTACCCTCAAGCCCATTCAACCCGGGCAACCTGTCGAGGAGCGCAACATTTGAGGCTATTGTCACAACGGTCGTCTATACCGTGCTCGACCCTCACGACCCAGCCTATCTAACCGTGGCCGAGTTTTGCACCACGCTCAAGTATCCTCCCTGCCGCAACTGCCAGTTCCAAAGGCTACCGACGGTGGAGATGACGACTATCCTAACCGCCTGTGACGCGTGCGGCTATCACGGAGAGAACAGCATCGAGCTGACCATTCCGCTGGGTGCTAATCCGGCGTTGATGACGAGCAACCCCTATACTCCGGATGATGTCCCAGGTGGTTCCCCCGCAGCTGCTCACGATGAGAATTCAGGCCCGGAATACAGGCCAAGGCCGGGGGGAGCTGAAGCTAGGCCAACAGTTGTTCCAGTTGGACACCCCCCTTATGGTGGACATGACCGGCCTGTTATTCACCATGAGGGAACAACTGGAGAGCACAACAAGGAGAATAAGCCCCCTGGGGATAATCATGCTCCAATTGGAGAACCTGGCCCTTCTCAACATGAGCAAGTTCCAAGCAACCATCATGGCGAGCCTGCCGGACCAGAATATGAGCCGCAAATAGGGCCTGGCAAAGATGGAGCCACCGTCAAGCCAACATTGGCCCCTTCAGTCGAGGCTGTACCAAAACCCGAGCCAGCCGGAGCATCAGCTGATCTAAAGCTGTTTACGGTTCCTATGGCAAACATACCAACGACGCCTCCGGATTCTCCCGTCATCGTGGCAGCAGGTCATGTAGCAAGGGGTATAGATGGCGTATTGACACTCTTTGCTCTCGTAGCTGGATTTTTCCTAATGTTGTAAGATCTTGGTTCATGTACATAGTTTTGCAACTGTCAATCAATAGAATATTTCCTTTGTTCCGCCAGGCTGATATCGTCGATTCTAGCATCATTCTTGCGTGGATAGCTGGATTGACATCCCATCACTTGAAGAGTTGAGCATACACATCAATTGTATCCGTCACTTGTTTCCAATCAAGTCTGTTAATCGAGTATAGTTGCGTGGTTGATGATTGTACATTGCGGATCGTTCCATACGCCCGCTCCATGCATTTCCAATTGTCCCAAAACGCCAGCCCAGTCGTGTAGTATACAAAATCGTAGCAATTCAACTCGGTCGTGGGGCTTTCTTGCTCGTGCCGGCTACAGGCCTAGCTCTCGTTGCTGCTCCTTGATCTTGTCTCGCTTCGCGCGGGCGGCGGCTCGGTTCTCGGCCTGGACCTTTGTCCTCTCGACCCTCAGACAAGCGCTGACCTTGTCCTTGGCATCGTTGCAGCTGCCGACAGCCTTGTGCATGAAGCCTTTGGCGTGGCACTCTTCCAGGGCGGCGATGACCTCCGAGCACCCTGCAATTGAATGATTAGCGATGACCGGACTCTAAATCAGGGGTGTTGGAGCATACCCAAGGCGTTTTGTGTGTGAAGATGAGGATGCATGGTTATTGTGTTTGCGTTGAATTAGTCAAATGGACCCTGGAAGATGGAAAGAAATCCAACGATCGCCACAGGTCGACGGGATTGATTGATGGATTGGATGCGGAGCGCACGGACCATGTCGGAGGTTAGGCGACCGACGCCCACCCAAACTTGGAGCCTCTCTTTGGAGGGGCATTCACTCACTCATTCACTCTCCTCCTCGAGGCGATATCAACACTTGATACTCGTCCACGACAAGCAAAATACGTCCAGAGCCATAGGGTCACAGAGTAAAAAGACTTCAAAACGCCCATCATGTCTTCGGCTCAGGTCCCTGCCAAGAAGCAGCAGGGTCAGTCTCACCTCCTCCATCTCATCCCACCTCGACCCTTTCTCACTCAAAACTCCAAACCACAGATCTCCAGGCCACCTACTCCAACTACAAGAACACTCTGCAGCAAATAGCCCAGAAAATCGGTGACATTGAGCAAGAAGCCGAGGAGCACAAGTACGCACACCCTCTTTCACTCTGCCTCCTTCACCTGGCATGACGTCGGGGCTTGTCGACCTTAATCCTCCCGCCGTCATGCCATTTTAGCATCTTCACCGCTCAAGAAACTCTTTCACCGCTTATTCTGACCGTGCTTGGCCAGGCTTGTTTTGGAAACTCTAGAGCCTCTCTCCGGAGACCGAAAGTGTTTCCGCCTTATCAACGGCGTGCTTGTCGAGAGGACCGTCAAGGATGTAGTGCCAGCCCTCAAGACCAACCAAGAAGGCCTCCGCAAGGTCCTTGATGATCTTGTCAAGCAGTACAAGACAAAGCAGGACGATCTCGAGAAGTGGAAGGTAAGTCGAATCTCCAGTTGTTTGCCTCATGAGTTGAAGAACAGACGCTGATACACTCTACAGAAAAAGAACAACGTGCAGGTTGTACAGCAATAATCATGTTACAAAGACAAAACAAAATAAAAGTACTCGCTTGTAAGAGAGCGATATTGATTGGGTCAAAGCTACAAACATCCTTCGTCTTCCTCTTCAACGTGCATGCTGGAAGCGACCAAATAGGGTCAATCAAGCGCAACGATTTCGGTGTATTCTGACCCGAAACCACCATCCATGCTCTTGCATCTACCAGACCACAGGCATCCAAGTCTGCCGATTGATTACTTACCATCAGATGCCTTCAGGCTGAACAAGCAGAAAAAGATGGTGTCGATGCGTTGTACATTTCTGTGCGCGCGGTGGGGTCCTGGCGGCAAGGGCGTCTCCATGCCCAACCGCATGAGGCCCCAGAAACCTCAAACCCCCCGGGCTTTCTTGACATGCAGGACACAGACAGAATGCGAGGGCAAGGGCGCGGGGGGAAAGGCCTCGAATGTCTTTGGCTGGATGAGGAGGTCCCGATTGACGAGGCTTTCCCACCGGCTGCATCTCGATATGCTGGCCATGTTGGACTAGAGTTGGCGATGGCTGCATTGAGTGAAACTTGTAAACCTCTTCTGACACTACGGGCTATGACCCTCAAATTTTGAGGTGCTGATATAGCCGTGGCCTCAGCATCCTTGTCCTGCTGGGAACTAACAACACTTCGACTTTTCTCTGGTTTAATGCCTCAAAAGGAAGAGACATGCATCTCGAGGCGGACTGCGTGAGCCTTGGACAGCCAAAGATGCCTCAGGTAGAATAACAAACGGACAGCTGGCACTGGATACTCGGGTCAAATCGCTCAACATCTCGATCCTCACCGGGGACTTGGAGCCTCGCAGACCCTGCTGAACGATGTGGACAGGATGACGGCATGTTTGCAGCTGAAACCACCAACGCAACTACTCTGCCTCTCCTCACTGCCCCTTGCCCTTCCCCATCACCAAGACCTCCCTGTGGGGGTTGGTTCATTCGGGTTCCAACTCATCGGGCAACAGATCGGCTGTTGCTGCGAGGAGGCATATTCGAGGCTGGGATATGTGCGTCTGACTGGCTGCCGCTACGCCCACGTCCCCCTCCAAGAGCCCATGCGGCGCAGTAGTCGTTTCTGCGCTGCATGCGGCTTGTCGTCCCGAGATATAGCTTCTGGAAGGCATGGATGTATTCGAGCCCAATCAACCCTGGATCCCGGGATGACCGTCTGCAGCTTACATCGGGTTGCCTAGGTGAGCTTCGGACGAGACTGCCTGTCTGATGGTAGAGATGGAACCGCTGACGTACAGTCCAGCCTGTCAGGATTGCATGGTTAATGACAGGCTCAGGAGATCTTCAGGGACTCTCATCATGGCGCATCTATCACTTTCGTTTGGAGCATCCAGGCACACGAGTCGCGAGGCTGTCAACGCACATCATCTCAGCTCAGCGCCAGCGCGGCCATATCAACCAGCCAAGGCCGACCCAGCAGCAACCCCCTCAATAACTATTAGTTCATGACTCGTCTGCGGCTCAGGTACATGTGCTGAAAAGTGTGACTGAACGGGGCACGGGGTTGGGCTCCAATGATGAGGTTGAATCGAGACCTAGAAGCGCCGAGCGGCTGGGTGCAATTGTGATTCCGACCCTCATGTCACAGCTTGATGAGAAGTGATGCCGGTAGGCGCTGGGAGGAAATGAAGTCATCTCGAGTCGTCGTACGAATGATATAGCGCTTTTGTTGATGTGAGTCCTCATTGGTGATATCGACGAGATTTCTAGTGGACTTGACCCCAGCTCTGTGGGTTCCCACGACCCAGTAGGATACTGTCCACGGTCGTCTTGAACCCTTGACAGATTCAGAGAGAGGCTTGATATTCGGTTGGGCCATATTCATGATTACAGGCTACCAGCCTCGTGGCGAGGTGCTCTGCGGCAGCTTACAGGGAGCACTGTAAATGAGGCCCAGACGGGTATCACCCCAGGCGAGGGCGAGGCCAGCCCAACCGGCCGAAAGACGGGCTTGGGACCGGACCAGGCTGGCCCTGTCACCAGGTTGTCGTGGCTTGGTGAGGTTCTGCCATTGCCAAATGAGGGCTCAAGATGGCCCACCCTCCAAGTACCGTCCCAGCGGACTTGATCGTCACCGGTCAGAGTAGAAGCTGGAGGTGTGTGAGTGAAGGCGGGACGTCATTTTGAGGTGCCCCATCCCGTGTCACTGGAGGTCGGGCGATTTCCGCATGGCGCTGTGAATATGTCCTGATCAACAGGCACAATTGTCGATGTGGAGGGCCTCGCCTGGAGGGTTCTTGAAGGAGCTGGAGGTGAGAATGGCAGCCCTAAATTTAGCCGTAGGGTACTAGGCTATACACGTTTTCTCGGTCAGTACTAGGTAGGCAAGCAGGCAGGTATTACTTGGAACACACGGCCTCCTTCGTACGATGCGATGGATGGATGGCCCCCCGGACGGAAGAGTTTGCGGCACACCGCCGGAGCCATGTTCGTGTTGAACCTGGTGTAGCCGTGGGGAGTGTTTGCAGCAATTGTGTCTGTTACCAAGGATGGGATGGATGGCTTGGAGAGATTAGCGGCTGAGGGGATCATTGAGTTTGGGCTTGAGGCGGATTGTCTTGTGCTCGGACGGGCCGGAAGTGTACGTGACTGATGAGATCTTTAGATTGATAACTGCTGTTGAATAACAGAAACGTATCCATTGCCTTTGTTGTCCATCAGATAACAAAGCAAAGACAACAAATATTGTTCCACGTCGTTGGCGGGGTGTCGTGATGATGACGATGAATGGTAGGGGAACCCGCTAACGGCTGGGTAGACTCTTTCCAAAAGGGCTTAGACTACTGCACCTGGGCAGTTCCTCCAAGTGTTATCGATATGAAAACAGGTCTGGAGTGCGGCAGGTGCCCTGGACGACCTAAAAAGCACCCAGCAAACAGGGCCTGGAGGCGCTTTGGGGGTCACCATTAGCGCCTTCCTGAGGCTGGGGGCGCGCGCAACCCGGAGCCTTAGCCTTAGGCTTTCTCCTCAGGCTTCCATTTCTATTTGTTGTTGCTCGCCGGGGAAACGAAACATGAATCTAACCTCTCACTAGCTAACCCGTCCAGTCTCAGCTCGCATCGCGTCCACTGTTGACCGCATCTTGAGCCTCGAAGTATTCCCTGCTCAGCCTGGATTGGAGTCACTGATTCTGCACTCTTGCTCACCTCGCCAGCGCCAGCCAGAGAAACCCCACATATGCACCTCTAGGACGGCGCTGCGACCTCAAGCGAACAACTCAGACACCCTCTCTCGCCCTCCACGTCTTTGCACCTCGCCCTCTCAAACCTCGCCTCCAGTTGCGGCCTGTGAGCTTTCTTCCTTTGCCTCGTCCCCCTGTTCTTGCAAACCAAACAAACCCCGTCGCGAGATTCCATCGATCGCAGACACACGCCCCGGCCTGGTCCCCCTCTGTGATCCGATCCGCACAGGACAGTGCCCTCTGAGAAGCTGGTCCCTTCAGCGTCGAGCTCCAACCATCGTCGCCCGCTGACGCGAGAGCTCCCAAACCCCGCGACCCATTGGCATCTGCCACTGGCATTGGCGAACGAGAACGCTTGCGAACCCTTTCGTGTAACAGCCCTTTTTTACAGTACAGTACAGCTCCGTACCCGTACCCGTACCCGGTACTCCCTCCGTGCGCGCTCAACACCGTACCGCACCCCAACGCCGCTCCGTCGCCATCTCAAGTCGCGACTTGACCTGCGCCGCTCCGTCTTCCCACCGACGTTGAGACGCGCCTGAACAGCCATACTATACCGGTTTTTGCCTCGCCTGGGACCCTGCCGCTGCGACCTGCGCGCAATAATCCCCCTCCTGCGCGTATCCTCCATCCTGCGCGTGTGTTACGTGCCCTTGCGCGCCTCGGCCATTAACCCTTGATCTGTGTCTGTCAGCCGTTACCACCGGCCGACAGCTTCTGCAAGCAATAACTCGCCGAGAAAGGCAGAGAGAGAGAGGTGCGTAGACTGCGCGCGCGCGATTCATCCACACCCGCCCGTCTCTCCCAGATTCGCGCATCTTTGCTGGACAATTTGCCCCTACCCTTCTCTCCCGTCAGAGTCCCTGACCTTGAAGTCTTGGTCCCTGGTCTCGTTCATTCTTGGCCCTGCGTCTGCATCGATGAAGGTCCCACCCCTCCCCTCCCCTCCGGCTCCAAGCTCCGCTCCGTATCTACCTTACCTCCAAATCCACAACCCACAGCAGGGCACCTCAACCACGCCTCAGAGCACACCCCCCCCAAAAACCCCAAGCAGCCCAGCGTCATAGCCCCAAGATCCCGGGCCAGGGACCGCCTGCCTGAGCGACTAAGAGACCTCGCCGGCATTCAGGACTGACGCAGCACTGCAGACAGAGACCCCCCTCCTCCCTCACACACCCCAACGACGCTTGCAAGCCCTACCGTCTGCGACGTGGCCTGGGGACACATCATCTCGAGGCCCAGCTGTGCCAGCCCGAAATCCCCTTTGACAAAGGACGCTAGCAGCCGCTGCAGGTAGCCAAATATGTCGGATTCCCCCCAATCCCCTCCCAAGGAGGTCGACCAAGGTGCACAGTCACCCGAGGACGAAGCACAAATGAACGAGCAACAAGACCCACAGGCCGCAAACACGGCGGGCTACGAATTCGAGGGTGTTAAAGAACAGGACCGATGGTTGCCCATAGCCAATGGTAAGTGATCTATCCCCAGAGGGGCCCTCGTCGTGATTTGCTCGTTCCTTCGTGCGCGAGCTGCTCGAAGTCTCAGCCTTCTAGCCGTGCAGATCTGGCCGGCCCCATGTCTTGCGATTCGTCCTCCAAGTCGCCCAAAGCGCCTCGCGCCTCCAAGGCCGATAGAGCTGATGAGCTTGATGCTAACATTCGCAACTTTGCACCAGTCGCCCGAATCATGAAGAATGCCCTGCCCGAAAATGCAAAGATAGCCAAGGAGGCCAAGGAGTGCATGCAAGAGTGTGTTAGTGAGTTCATCTCATTCATCACCAGCGAAGGTACGTTTGCGCTCCCCTTACCCCCCTCGGGACTCACAGCTACATGCTGCGATCCGAGTCATGTCTCTCCTCTGCAGCATGCTGACGGGGTTGGATCGCACAGCGTCGGAGAAGTGCCAGCAGGAAAAGCGCAAGACTGTCAATGGTGAGGATATCCTCTTTGCAATGACATCTCTGGGATTTGAGAACTACGCCGAAGCTCTCAAGGTGTATCTCTCCAAGTATCGCGAGGTTAGTATATTAGGGTCACTGCGCGGTTCGCCCTTTGTTAACATGCGCCAATAGCAACAGAATCAGTCAAACCGCGACAGAGTCATGGAAAACACCCCTTGGGCCGGTGGCATGATGGGCGATGCCAAGGCTGAGCCCGGTGCCGTTGGAAACGAGTTTGCCCCCGAAGGCGCAAACAGTGTCGAGGGTGCTGGTGATCCTAACTACATCTATGGGTCGCAGCCTGGCCATAACGGCGCTGGTGCTGGCGATGGCTACTAAGATGCTTCTAGTCGCTTCCGGATATGTCAGGATTGCAGGCGCAAGGCCTTGCATTCACCGCTGGCCTATCACCCCTTGGAAAATCGACCACAACCAACAACAGTCGCGATCTGGATCACATGGATCACCGAACCGATTTGTATTACCGCTCACCTGCCGTTACGAGAAACCCCCGAGGAAGAAACTGCGGACGGTGTATAGAGGCGGATGTATATGTACGAGAACATATGGATTAAGGATATGGAATGGAATAAACCGGAAAAGATGGGAAAGAGACTCGATGGTGCTATCGGAATGATAGAGTTCTTGACAATGCCGTCTCCTATGCCTCTGGGCTGGGGCAGTCTCGAGCCCAGACATAACAGTCCTTCGACAGTCAGATATCGGACTCAAGGATACAGACCAACAGCTATGCATCGAGTCCTAGCACAGAATAGAAACTTGCGCATGGAGTGTTATAACTGATACTTGGCAGACTGCGACTTACAACATGACATGTGGAGTATGAGAGTGTGGCATGAACCTGACCTGTCCTTCTGGAAGTAGACCAAATGCTCAAGACGAAAAGGGAAGAAAGGAGAATGAACAGAAGTCGTCTTGTGTTCCGTTATGAGCTCAATTGACCCGTTTGTTTCCATTCTCGGCATTGTTTCTTTATTGCCCGAAGAGGTCGACGAACGAGCGAGACTGACGCAACAATCAATGTTCAATGGTGCACGGACCACCTTATCTGGATGCAAACGGCACGTGTGCGACCCCACCTAAAAAGTGTTATCGAAAAAAGAAGTGCCCACCAGCGCCCAAGACCGGATTGAAATATTTGCCTTCTCTCACCACTCACTGCAGGGCTGTTTGTCTTCATCGACCAGCACATGTGCTGATGATTTATGCTTATTATGACCAGTAATTCGTTCTGGACTACCTCGCAGCACAATCTTCAGTTCATGAATATCCCTTAAACCCGAAACCCCCTCTTTTCGGTGACGGTGTCAAGAGCCCTGTTGCCTGAGAGACGCCACCATTCCCAGCGAGCGAGCAAGCAAACCTGACATCACCCGATTTTCCCCTCCCGCAAACGATATACACCCATGCGACCCTTTACACCGACGACCAGGAAGTTCTCTGGTCCTGTTCCAAGGGGTTCGACGCCCGTCCGGTCGATCCTCAAGCCGGCGTCTGTTCTAGGCAGAAGAAAGGCTGAGCATGCTGGGCTCAGCGATCCCCTCGAGGCACCCGAAAGCCCCACCAAGCGCCGCAAGGTATTTTTTGACGACATCCGAAACGTAACATACGAAGTTGGTCGGAGAACGATGGACGAGGTCAAGCTGGAGGTCAGGACTGCTCTCGAGGAGCACCTGCGAGGTAATGATGGCCAGTATGATACTCTCAAGGAGCTGTTTGCCAGCGACAAGCAGCGATACCTGCCGCCCGTCGTCGGTGAAGAAGACGACACTTTGAAGCCCCATGAGCTCCAGGTCTACGTCATGGCCCTCACGGGCTGCATTCCCATCCTCAAGGACAAGGCCTGCAACGGCCTCGTCAAGACTATTCTCAAGTGCTCCTGGCTGGGACGAGACGACGACTTTGTCAAGGTCTTTACCCACTTCCTGGCCGCTCTGGTCAGTGCTCAAGGGTCCTACCTGTCGCCTGTTCTGGCCATGATGGTGGGCAAGTTCTCTGATAGCCGTCCCTCTGTCTGGAGTGTGCCAGACTTTCCTGAGGTCAGCCGCGAAACCATGCGGGATAGATTACACGGCACCCTGCAGTATTTGCTCCAGATGTTCCCATCCGCTGTCCCTGTGCTGGAGAACCTCCTCGGCTCCAACTTTCCCTTTCCCGACCAGTCGATGCGTGTCCACATGGCCTACGTCGACAATCTGCTGCGTATCAAGAAATATGTGCCCCTCTTGCGCGACGAGGTGCTCGACCTGATCCTCAACCGGGTTGTCAAAATCGACTCTCAGATGCAGGTCGACCTGGAGGACCTGGACGATGACGTGACTGCCGCCGTCATGTACGCGCTGGGTGATCACTCACGCGCAGACAAGTGGGAGGACGACGGAGACGACGTGAGCGATACCGAATCGGTCGACAGCGATGATCCAGACTTTGATCAAGATGCGGCGAGGATTCAATCGATCAAGGGAAGCGTGGAAAAGATGGATGCTGTCTTGGACACCCTCTTCCGCGTCTACACCCCTCACTTTACCAACCCCGGCTCGGACACGGCCTTTGACGCGTTTACGGTGCTGCTTCGCGAGTTCGACCACATGGTGTTGCCCACCTACAAATCACGACACACACAATTCCTCATCTTCCACTTTGCGCAGATGCACGAGCGGTTGACGGATGCTTTCTGCGGCCAACTTATCGCGACGGCCTTCCAAAGCAACACGCCCAACGTGCTCAAGCAAGCTGCTGCAGCCTACCTGGCCAGCTTTGTGGCTCGCGGATCCCATCTTCCAGGCAGCTTGATCCGCAACATCTTTGGGCTTCTGCTACACCATCTGGACACGTACCGTAAGAAGTACGAGCCTCTGTGCCGCGGACCTGACCTGAAGCGATTCCACCCCTACTACAGCCTCGTCCAAGCCACACTCTACATCTTTTGCTTCCGGTGGCAAGATCTGATCGTGTCAACACCAGAGTTTGTGGACCGCGACGACCCTGCCTCGTACATCGGACAGGAGATGGAGTGGATGGGAACCTGCAGAAAAGACCTCTCGATCCAGATCTTTGGCAAGCTCAACCCGCTCAAGGTCTGCGCCCCCGTTATTGTCGAGGAGTTTGCCAAGATAGCGCACCGTCTCAACTTTATGTACGTGTATCCGCTGGTGGAGGGAAACAAGCGGGTTCGCCTAACGCAGTATCTCTCGGCAACCTACTCAACAGGCGGTGCTCTGCGAGACGCGGGATACGAGATGCAGGACGAGAGCTACCACCAGCTGGACCCGTATTTCCCATTCGATCCGTACCAACTCCCAGTCAGCAAACGATGGCTCGAAGGTGACTACGTCAGCTGGAAGTCGATACGTGGGCTGAACGCGGAGGACGATGACGACAGCGACGACCTCGAGGAGCTGGACGAGGACGATTTGGAGGAGGGAACGGCTACAGACAGCGAGGGGGAAGACTACGAATAGAGTCGTGGAGAGTTGTGTTGCTGCCGTCAATTTCAAGATGCATTGAGCGAGGCGTTGGACGGATTTGCTTGTCTTTTTAACAGGGTATTGGTTGATTGGACAATACCCATTGGAGTTCGGCTTAGAAAAGATGATGATTTGTTAGTTTTGCCATAATTTCGAGATGATCTCGGGGTTATGGCCCAATAAAAGCTTTAAACTTAGGAATCATGTCATTGAATGTGTCTAGGTGAATGTAAGCCCTGCCCGCGTGGATGCTGGTGCCTTTTAATGTGACGTAGTTGGTTGGTACTGTAACATAGAGGAAGGCGCAGGTCGCAGGCAGAATGCAGTGCCAGCCAGTCTAAGCCTTTGGGATGACATGGCTCGCGGATCTAGAAAAAATCCGATTCGCGACTTACACGTGCCTTGCCTGGCCTGGCTCAGCTGGGCTTGACTCTTCAACCACCTGTGGCTGACTTGTTACTGTTGCACTCCTTTGAACGCTGTTTATCTTTGATTGAGTGTGGTTGACCCGATGGACCATTACCGTTGCAGTTGAAACCAAGCTACAGCTACTGTACCGTCTCCTTCGGCAACGGCTCCTCGTTTGACCCGAGCTCTTCCAGACCCGAAGGCAGCGTCTCACTCACACTACAGTACCTTGACTTATCAGCGCTAGCATCTGGATCCAATTACCCAAGAGCAACAAGAAAAAAAAAAAAAAAAGGAGTCAACCCAAGCCATATGGCCTCTTCAAAGTCACCGGGCGATCGGCCGTCCTTCTCGGCTTTTCTTAGAAAGACAAAGGACAAGGTCCGCGGCATCGGGCGTGATGGGAGCGCCTCGCCGCAAGGGCGGGGAAAGGGAATTGCAGTAAGCAGCGAGTGTAAGTCGAAGAGAGAGGGCTCTTTCATGTCTTGGCCTTTCTTTGGATGTCTCGGGATTTGTTCAAGAGTTGGAATATCCTCTGAGAGTGTGGATGGATGACTCAGATATTGACGACAGAATCAACCTTCACTCATCACTAGCTACGTCTTGTTGGATTCAGGCTGACGACTCATCTCAGCGCCCGACACCAGCAGCGGTACGTCACCATCAAAGTCCAAAAAGTCGCTGTCGGCCAGTGAAAAGGCAAAGGTTCGACGCGCCCAGGTCCGACGGGCTCAGATCCAGCACCGCCAGCGCAAAGCAGAGTACCAGAAGGAGCTAGAGCTCGATATCACCCACTACCGCGAACTCATCTCTCTGACCGAATTTGAGGCTGGGGAGCTGCGTCGTCAGAACGATGAGATCAGGACACTTCTCGCATCAAAGGGCATCGCCGTTCCCGAGTCCGGCGGTGACCCGCAGTGGCAGCTGCAGAGGTCTGTCATAACGCAAGGCGGCGATGCTTGGGTGGATGAGATTTTGGGCACGGGCGGTTATGACTCTGGGGCGTTGACTCAGAGTGAAGGGGACATGTTTGCTGATGTCAACGTCGACGATATCATCGTCACTCTCAAGAAGGATGATTGCATGGATACGCCCGTCTTTAGCATTCGGTCCAACTCGGCCAGCAGCAATGCAACAAACTCACCGGCAGCTGAGGGAGACTCGGGTCTATCTCAAGAGGAGGAACAGATGGTCATCAATTTCATCCTCTCGTAAGAGCCCTTTCTTCACTGACATCATGTTACAGATTCACTGACGCTTCTATAGTCTCGAGCACATTTGTTGGGACCACTTCTTCCTCGGCGACTTCCCCTCCCACTCTTACCTCTCAGATGATGAAGCCAAGGGCCACACCCTCATGGCCTCATCACTCTGCATGGCGCACGCCCCGCAGCATGTCTTTCTCGGCCGAAAGCTCGTCTCGTCAGCCTCATCTTGTCACAACCGCCGCTCTCTTGGCCTCGATCCCACCGTGCCCCCGGTCTCATTTGAATGGCCCTCGCCAGCCATCTCACTATCGTCACTGCACGGCCTCGCTCGTAGTCTCAACCCGGGAGACAAGGAGCTCACTCCCATCCAAGCGTGGTTCGAGCTCGCCGCTAGCTTCCACAAGAGTGTCCTTCTTAACCCCGCTACGCTGGATCTGCTGAGCAAGGAACTCAATGGAGTCGTCAAGTGTCTCGAGTTTGGTGCTGTTATGGAAAGGGAGGCCTTCAAGAGTGTCGTCGGTAGGGTTCTAGGCGAGGGCTTGGAAGATGCTATGGCAGGGGTTGCACTCACCCAGCCAGAGGGCCAGCAGACACAAGACTCGGGGAATCCATTCGGTCTTGTGGGGTATGCCTGGGCTTGAGTAAGGGCCAGTGAAGTGTAAGATAAAGGCTGCATCTTTTCCTGTACTATATTTGGAGTTCGGGAGCGGTCAGATGGGACATTGGTGAGTTACTACAGAGGTTGTCGTTACCGGCCACTGACCAGACCAACAGGACATGACATTTCGAGCCCTTTAACAGGGTATGACTGGATATAACGAGTGTTGATAGATTTTGGATTTCGCGTACATTCATGATAGGGGCTCAAGACGGCCGTAAACATCTATCTATTGAGACATATCTCCTCGCGTCTTTAAAGACATCTCAACTGCGTGCATGTAGTTCGCTCCAAAACATGCTCCGTTCTATTAATCAAATGTGTTGACCCAGTTCCTCCCGTGAAAGTAAAACCCCCCTTTTTATAGAGCCCTGACAATACTCCGCTCATCAAACAGATCCTTCAACAAGCCAGAGACGCACGTCTCCCGGTCGAGCCGGCCCATTGCATACGTAGACTCGAAAGCAAAGATGCTGAGCTGCCCAAAGAAGGGCCGGAGCACCTTGGCCACCAGCTCGTCCTTTCTCTCGAGGCTGACATCGTCATTGATGCCACCTAGTCCGAGCAGTGGCCTTCGGGATGAGCCGCTTGCCACCGGGTTTACAACCGAAGAAAGCTGGAAGCCAGAGTTGGACACTGCGGCGCCAAGTTCATCAGACAGTTCATCGACCAGGGCGACAGGTTGATAGGTAGATGACCGATAGACAGCGTCGATGGTGTCGGTAATGAAGAGCCACTCATGCAGCTGGAAGTCATCAGGCGCCACACAGATCAAGAGGTCGAGAAGCTTGCAGGCCTGAAGGATGGAGGCATTGGTGTAAGTGTCAGACGCAGGGCTGTTGTCTGGGGCCACGACTGAAGAGATAGCCGCGTGGATCTCAGCGTTGACAACCGGCCACAACATGCCAAGATGAATGGCACTGGTCCTGAGGGCGAGAGCGCGGAAAACCATGTAGATATCCCCTCGGGTGGTGGACGATGGCGAAGACGTTGATGAGGCGGCAAGAAGCTCGGCCAACTTGCCAAAGATGTCCGAGAGGTCAGCAACAAACGCGTCCTCGGCCGACGCAAGAATCAGAGTGGCGATCCTGCGAAGGTTGAGTTGTGTCTTGCGATCAGCCTCAAGTCGAGCTGATGTGGCTCCAACACCAAACACGATACCGGCCGTGGAAGGAGAGCTAATACGGCCGACGATCTCGGACATCTTTTCCTTGTCCGTCAGAGTCCATTGTCTCAACAGCGGAAGCCAATCGTCCTTTGCCAACGCTAGGTTCATGCCAAAGAACTTGGAGTCATTAAAGGCATCGCCGACATCCTTCTTCCAGTTTTTCTGGTTATTGTGCAACCTCGACAGTTCCCAAAGAAGTCGCATGGTGCTCTTGGAGACGATGTCGGGAAAGCCCTTGGCCCGTAGAGTTGGCCCGATTACATTAGTAGATATCGTTGCAGCGGCAGAGAGCACCCTGTCAGGCTCGACGAGAATCTTGCTGAGGTTTGGCACGATCGAGGCGAGGATGGATACGACATCGTCAGCGCTTTCAGCTGCCCCGTTGAGTGAGTGGTTAGAATCAGACTTGGGGATCTTCTCAAGGACACCACTCGGGGCCGCTGGCTCGGTGAAAGTCATAGGTCTGGTCGTAAACAAGGCAGTGAGCAATCTGAGGAACGTATCCTAGCCACGAGTTAGTAAACACATCAACAATTGCACGGGGTGACTTACTCCCAGTTCTCTTCGCATCCTCCGCTGCTCTCCAAAATTGGTATTGTCGACCTTCTCTCCAAGAATGGCTGCGAACTCGAGCAAGTTTGGTAGTGTTTGGCGATGGGGGAAGGGGTTCGTCAGCAAGTCCTTGAGGAAGACCATGCAGTCTTGCCAGATCTCATCCATAGCGTCATCGTCCAATGTCCTAGCGTACTCAACAAGGAACCAGACAAGATCTGTGTCATGGAGAGATATTGTCATTGTTGATTTCGATGCAGGATCGGCTGTAGCCGGATTGGTTCGTCGGTAGATGGCATTGAACAATGCTGGCATGCAGTGTCTTGGCCGAGAAGCCTCCAGCGCAGACAGGAGGTTGAAGACCTGGTTTGACTGTGAACCCTCGGTCGAGTTTTTCCAGATGTCGATGACAGTCTCGAGACATTCTAGGTTCTCTGCGGCAAAGAGGTGCTCCAGCAGGCGCCTCGAACGATTCCGCATTCGCAACGAGGTGTAGTTGAACGACCCAAAAGACCCTTGATCTTGCTTGGTGGAATCGTCACCCTGGCCCCATGTCCAAATTCTGTAGCAGATGCGAACGGCGTCTTGGAGAGCCAAGTGAACAGTCAAGCGATCATTTGCCGTAGCACTCCGAGACTGGGGGGCATCTGACTGCCAGACATTCGAAACCATGCTTCCAAAGATGGATTGAGGCTGGTCTGGGCCCTTGACCACTTGTGTCCGAGCCTCCTCCCGGAGAAGCTGCTCATGAGCCCGTGCAAGAACTTGTTCAAGGCCGTTGAGAAGGAAGATCAGTGTAGACTCAGGAGAGGACTTTTCAATGCCAGTAGACAGCGAAGTAGATGCGAAGGTCTCTCGCAAGTTAGAAAAGGTTGTACCAATCTCTCTGCATAGTGTCTCGACCAGCGGAATGAGAACCTGGAAGATGGATTCTGAGTAAAATGGCAAGCACTCAGCAACGAAAGCAACCCAACTGTCCAGGACGGGCCGACTGTTGGGCGAGCTTAGTCCATCCTGAAGACACTGAAGTAGTTGAGGTGGTGGTGATGAGATAGCCGGCCGAGCATCCGCCCCGGAGAGAGATGGCCTACTTCCTCGGTTCGGGTCGAAAACGGATGGTCTCCTCTCGGAGATGGGCGACGGGGTAACCTCAATAGCTGGAATATCTCGAAGCTTGAGGGCATCATAGACCACATCAAGCAGGAGTACTTGTACGTGGGCGTCAGAGCCTTGCAGGGACTTGAAGAGACGCTCGATGAGAACGTTCTCTAGATGGAACCTTGAGATGGGGGCGGCGAAAGGACCCAGGAGGAACTTGTGCAAAAGGGTGAGAGAATACCGATAGAGCTGATTGACGCGAGCTTCAAAGTCCTTGTCAGTGTTCTCAGCGGGGTTGCCCCTGATGCATCTCATGCAGACACGAATGAAGAATTCCTGCAACGTCATCTCGTGTTCCTCTCCTCCAGCTGTCGTGTCGTCAGTATGGAGCAGGAGTTTGTACGTGATGGGTTCTCTTACAGCTGATTTGCATCTGCTGACCATGGAATGAGACATGCTTCGAGGCCAAGACGTTCCATGAAATCTCCGCAGCACAACCGAGAATATTTGAAAGAGTTCGCAGATAGTATAGGCAGAGCTCCAAATCATCATTCTCGGTGAAGATGGGTGGTTCCTCCTCCATCTTTTCGTCCGCTTCCGTCAGAGTCTGAAGGAAGGGAATCTCGCATAATTTGGACACGAAGATTAGGAAAAGTCTACGTAAAGTTAGCATTGGTTGTCCCTTTTGTATAGCTCAACGAGTCTCACCGATCAATCCCCAGCATGCTGTTCAGCCACGACTTCACTGTCATGTACAATTGTGTGCGATCATCTTGAAGAGCATCAAGAACCAGGAATAGGGGCTGTGTGAGCATGATCTCGTAGTTGTCTGTCCCAGCGAGCCGCGGAAGGGTCTTGATGTCAAGCATCGGCGTCTTTGAGCCTCGTCGCTCTGAAGAAGCGTTGTCTTGTAGGGTGTGCGACCATAGGACACCGAGTGCGCGGCCCTCATCAACAGGCTCAATGATGCCACTGTATCTGATGTCGTCGGAGATGACGAGGCTAGACAAAGCTGCTTCGATATCGCGATTGAAAGGCGTCAAGGCTGACTGCAGCTGCCATAAACCTCGCACCGCCTCCACATGGTATTTCGGCTCAGACGCAGAGAGGTATGTCCAAGCCTGCCGCACTAGAGGGAGCACTAAGCGCGAGAGTTGTTTGGTTTCGATCCTCTCTGCATAGTATAGCTGTGTCGATAGCTGCAATATCGCCGCGAAGGATGGAAAGGGGACTATCTCTTGCTGATCAAGCAGATTATGCATAAGTTCCAAGAGCTGCGCTTCCTTGACTGGATATGTCTTGGGTGTCTTGTGCATTGCAAGAACCAAGAGTCGTACACAAATGCCGAGGTCAGTTGCTGGCGAGTCCAGGTTTTCACAAATAAACTGGGATGCTTTCTCCAAGATCATTTGTCCAATGTCCAGGGGTTTGAAAGGTGGCGGCGATGCCTCGATGTTACCTTGCTCATTGACATAGAAATTTCGTATCTTCTTGAGCACATCCACTGTTGGAGGGGACTCATGATTTCCTTCGCCTTCCGCATGCTCTGGGAATACCCTCTCTGGGATAATCTCTAGAAGTGATATGGCGACATTTTGAGCTTGGCTGGACAGGGACTGGGATGAAGAAGTCGAACTGTCGTTTGATGCTAAGCGGCCCTTGGAGTCTTCCAGCATTGCAAGGGCTGCCAAACAACACAGAGGGGCGTGGATAGTAATCATTTCTTCCTCTCGCACGTTGAAGTTGGTTAGGATGAAGTTGACTAGCGAGAGCTTGTCACTTCGTTCCGCAAAACTGAGAGTGCCAGGGCCCAGGGCCTGCGCAAGAAGTCCGACAATCTCACCGTAAATGAGGCCACTCTCAATTCCATCAAAGAAGACGCTGGCGCTTCGCACGACCTCATTGAACTCGGATTTGGTCGAAGCTTGATCCTTGAAACGCCGCACACTTTCGATTATTGGGAGAAATACTTCGGGAACAACCAAACCACCAATCTCCCACCGATCCATTAGTGAAAGACATATCCTGTAGGGTCTGGCTCGCTCGCTCGCTGTGTTCTGTGAGGTACCCCTGATCATTTGGAGTATGGCTTTTGTCAATGGTTGGAGACCGAATTCCTCAAAGTGGCTGGTCTTGGAAGCTAGATACGCATGATGCTCGGCAGAAGGACTCTGCGGACCTTCAGGACCGTGTTCGTGTTCCGCGGTTGGCTCTGGGCCAAGAAGCCAGGCCCATAAGCGTCTGTTCAGGCTCATGTCGCGGCGTGTGACAACACCGACCGCAGCCTTGAGAAGGAGTTCTAGATCAACAGGTTTCACTCGAGTCTGAATGACATGTGAATTCAGGGGAAGATGAGAAACCAAGAGATCCAAGAAGCCGCGCTGGATAAGCAACTGTTCATCAGAGAGGCCGCTTGCAAAGCAGCGCAACAAGAGACCCGGTTCGGGAGATGTCACGACAGATGCGAGCTTGCCCTGAGTTCCTTCAGCACTTTCGTTTTGTGTGGTCGCTGACTTGTTCGCATCGGGTGTAACCTGTGGACCCAACGGGGGCAGATATCGCACGAGATATGCAAGGGCACCTGAACGACGGCTCTGACTGGTAATGGATGCCAAGAAGAAGCATTGCCAAAAGAATGCATCCCCTGTTGAGTGCTGTTCGGTGATTGCTTCGCTATGAGCTGGTCTAATGACATGCTTGAAGCTCTCAACCAGGCGCAGTGTTCGATCAAAGTCCTCGCTTGTTTCTTCTTCCAAACCGGGTAGTAAGGCAAGAATGATGGACTTCATAGCCGGTCGAAGTGACCGGGGATCAATCCCAAGAAAATGACGTTCTAGGAGATCGAGGTATGGTGCCCGAACGGATAGTGAGGCGAAGGAGAGGACAGTCGCCAGTCCGGGTAGGTATAGAGGGAGGTCTCTTGACAGGCCATCTTTGCCAATGACGGAAAAGACGAGATTATATAGTTCCAGGGCTTTCTGGTGTACGCCGGATGGGAGGGACGGGTTGAGGCATTGTGAGAGTCGTTTCGCAACGGTGGCCTTGGAAGGGATGGCATTGATCGATTTGGGACGTGCTTGTAGAGCCTGGTAACCATTAGATTCTCATAGACATAATATAGGACATCGATGCGCACCTTGAGAAGCCTGTTCAAGAAGGAAATGTAGTCTGCCCACTCCTCCAGAGCTGTCTCGAATAACACGAGCGCCTTGTCAATCCCGTGGGCATACTTGCGATAGGACTTGTCCTTGATTGGGTGTTCCTCTATCCACCGCATGTTAGCAACCGAACCTGGTGATTCGAGCAAGCCATGGCGCATGCGTACCTCCTCCGAGCTGGTTCCGCCATTGTCGCGGAATAGGTGAATCTCGTCCCGAGCTATCGGGGGACACTGAGCGACGACCGGCCCCGGGCTCAAGAGCCATGACTGTGGACTATTGGGATGGAAGTTGAATATGAGAACATCGAGTTCCCTGAAGAGTGGCGACAGTGCCAAAAGGCATCGCTAGCAACCAGAGCGCACGATAGTTGATTTGGTCGCTGGACGTTGCGTAGACGTAATCTCGAGTCTGTAGGTCCTCAGAAGGCTACGTTTCACAGGCGGCAGCTCCAAAGGCCCCGTAGCCGCACCTACCTTGAAAATCAGCGGAGCTTTGAGTACGGGGGAGACGCTGATTGGTCAAAGCTCTCTGAACACGGGGCTCATTAGCGCAAGGCTGCAACAGCCCCTCCAAACTGCATGACCATGACCCAACTGTGGCTGCGTCATGCCCAAAGCCTTGATGGATCTCTCTCCTCATTTGTAGCCCCGATACCACCATCGTCAACCTTAACTTTGTCCGAGATGGCATAATGGCCTCGCCCGTCCTTCGTGGAAGCTTGCCCGGTCGTAGGGATCTAGCTGCACTGAATATTCCTCAATTCCACCATCGAGACGGCTGATCCCCTGGAAATGCGACAAGCGAGCTACGCCTATCATGGAACCCGTCGAGATGGGACCCAATCCAGCATCCATCTCCCCCACGGATGATGATTACCGTCCTCCACTTCCACCACGGCCGCCCGCGAGTGCCACCATGGACCCGTCCGCACTGCAAGCACAGGCGGTCACAGCAATAACTCCCGTGGAAGTCCAGACGCTCTCCTTTCCAGATGGATCTCGTGGAACGTTTCCGACTCCTGGTCCCGATTCTGTACCGAGTCCAGCCGATAGCGGCCATGCCTCTCCTAGTCGACATGAGAGCAGCCTCAGCGGTGAGGCGGACGAGACCGCCAGTATCATGAGCTTTGCACCGACCATGCGACCTGCCGGAGATATTGCCAGTCTGCTTGCCGGGGAGCTCCATAAGAAAAGCCCAGCCTGGAACTTGCTTCGCTCCCAGTCAGCCACCGTCCAACCCTTTGAAAGGAGCAGGACAGGTGCTGACGATAAGCTGAACGAGTTTCATCATGAATTCGATCCGATCCAGGAGAATGATAATGACGACTCCGGAGACGAAGAGAGATTGCGCATTTGGAAGTCGAAACTCAAACATTACCTGATCCTGTCGTCGGCCGGAAAGCCCATCTGGAGTCGTCATGGAGATCTGAGCCTCATCAATTCTTCCATGGGCGTGGTTCAAACAATCATTTCGTTTTACGAGGGCGCAAAGAACCCCCTGCAAGCCTTTTCCGCTGGAGAAACTCGTTTTGTCATCTCGACCGAAGGACCCCTCTACTTTGTCGCCATCAGCAAGCTGGGCGAAAGTGACGCACAGCTGCGGGCGCAGCTAGAAGCTCTCTACATGCAGATATTGTCGACATTGACACTGCCCAGGCTAACTCACATCTTTGCCAACCGTCCATCAACCGATCTGCGGAAGCCACTGCAAGGGACCGAGTCTCTACTGTCGTCACTGGCTGATACCTTTACAAAAGGCTCACCCTCTGCACTCCTCGGGTCATTAGAGTGCCTTAAGCTTCGAAAATCTCAGCGGCTTGCTATAAATAACACCTTTTTAAAGTTGCGGACCGAGAAGCTACTGTACGGCCTCATCGTGGCTGGCGGGAAACTCGTCAGTGTCATCCGGCCCCGTCGTCATTCACTCCACCCCAGCGACCTTCAACTCATCTTCAACATGCTCTTTGAGAGTGATGGGATTAAGGGAGGGGGTGGAGAGAATTGGATTCCACTATGCTTGCCCGCCTTTAACAACAAAGGTTATCTCTACATGTATGTCAGCTTCTTTGATGGCGCATCTGGAGAGCAGGCCAGCTCCCCAGCTGCCGCACAAGGACGATCAGCGGATGAGGAAATCGCCATGATTCTCATCAGTGCCGATCGCGAGAGCTTCTTCGAACTCAAGCAGATGAGGGACAATGTGGCCCAGCAACTTGCTAAGAATGGAACTCTGGCTATCATTCAGAATGCCACCCGCGCTGGCCGCCCAAAGATACACGAAATCACCCCTGGCAGCCAGGTCAGTCATTTCTTGTACAAGTCACGGGCCAACGTCCAGTTTTGCATGGCCTCATTGGACCCCGGCTTCACCGAGCTAGTTGAGCGCAGGAGACTGATGTCGGTGTATCACGAACTACATGCGTCAATACACGCAAAGCACTCGCATCTCAAAGTGTTACACTCTGTGGGGGATGATGCGACGTCCTTGGCCTGGATAACCCCAGTCTTTGAATTCTACTGCGTGGCCGGACCCAATGTTTCGAGGGCCACAATAACACAAGGGGCAAACAAGATCATTCAATGGGCAAAGAGAGAACAAGAGCGCCTTTTCATTATTGGCGGCGGTGTATTCTGAGGTCTCGCCTCTGGTTGAGGACTTGCCTCTATCTGGGGTCATGCCACCTAATCAATCCTTAAATCCAAGCCTGTAACCTCGTCATGGTCGTCGTTGGACCTGAGAAGACTAACACCACCAACGCCGCATTAACTCATTTATTATTCATCCAACCCCATGAGCAATTAGATGGGGGTGCTCGGGTACTGAATTCAATCCATTACTTCGACTCTGATGTCAACTGTTTTGTGGTGACCGTGTAAGCTGCTCGACTACCGTCTAGCTCTGTTGAGGCAATGTCGTCTGCTGATGGAGATGTGGCAACACTGGTTTGGCTTGCGGCGGGTTGGCTGTCGAAGTAGTCGCCTTTGTTGGAGCTGGAGTTGGAGCGGCTTCGCACGGCGCCCCACGATCTCTTGGCCCACTCCAGGATGCGGTCATTGACTCTTGCTCGACGTTTGGTCTCCGACTCCCAGGAAGCATTGCGATGGGTAAGTCGAAGAGGTGACGGACGCTCGCTATCTCCAATGCTAGTTCGGCTGTTGGTTCCGGTAGACGGGTAGCTGATGGTATCGGTGGCAAGGGTTGTCCTTGAAGCGTTCATGATGGCCTCGGAGAAGGGAGCGTCGAAGTCCTCACGGAACCGGGGACTGCGTATTGAAGGGCTCCGGAGCGAAGTCTGGGGACGTTGAAAATCATATGGTTCCCGGATGGGGAGCGGGAGAGTGAGGATGGGCCTCCGGTCTTCCATTGTGGCGAGACGGGCGAGATTCCAAGGTGTCGATTGTCCTGGTTCAAAGGTGTGGGTGAAGAGGGGAAAGGCAACGGGAACCCGAGACACGATATATGGAAGGGGCCGAGTCTAAAGCCACGAGATAGACACGGGAAGGGCGGGAATAAAGTCGTCAAAGGCTGAAAGAAGGCGTCTGTTATTGACAATGGTTTGTTGACTTGACTTGACTTGACTTGACATGGGCGACCGGGCGAGAGGGTTCCCTTTTGTTCAAAATCAAGTGACCCCCAGTTTAACAAACATGTGCATCCGGCATTAGCTCAACCTTTGAGCGCCAAACGATGGCGCTACAAGTGAGCGATAGACCCCTGACTAGTCTTGGACAAGACACCGCGTGGACCCAGCCATGGTGGGCAGCACGGACTGCGGGGATACGGCGGTGGCCAGTTGGATGCGAGGCTTGAAAGGCCAGACTTGTCCACAAGGACGGAAAATCTTGAAGGGTGGCCCAGGGTTGGCCAAGGGGGACCCTCTACTCGTCGACGGTGCAAGCCACATCGGGAGCCGTCTTGACAAGAGCGGCCATCCTGGAGCGCTTTGGGTGGTAGCGCTTCCAGAAGAGCCACAAGCCCCATGCCCTGCTAATTAAACCCTGTTGCCGAGTCAGATGCCTCCCTCGTCTTTCACTTCGGCTCTCTGCGGCCACCCGTTTTCGGTACGGGGTTCCGGTCCCGTCCAGACCCAGGCCATGTCCCTTGCCAAGGGCAACAATCAAGACAATGTGTTTTATTTATGGACATGGAGGGTAATGAGTCACGCTACACACACGACATTGACAAAACAAGCATTCGGTCGAGGCCGTCCACGAGGGAGTCGTTTTTGCTGCCCAAGAAATGAGTGTGTCTCGCCTGGCGGGTCCCGGTCCTTACCCTCCACGGGCTGGGCTGGGGGTTTAATGGGAGATCACGGGAATGTCTCGGGAGAAGGGTAAGGTTCTTTTTTTGTTTCGTGACAACTCAGCAAATGGAAAAAAAGGGACTCGACTCGAACTTGCACGTGAAGACTCAGCGGTGAAGAGAGCTGCTTGATGGTGATTGCACAGACACAGACGACAACCACTTCACAAATGTCCCCGTCAAAGCGTAGCGAATGCTTGATGACGCCCATCCTGTCGGTCATGACAGGGGGGACGGCGTTTGGGTGAGGCGCCACCGACGTTGATTCGACTCACCAAGCATTGTTGACCCGTTGATTTGACCAACAAATCCTCTTTTACTTGAGAGTTTTCAAACCCGAAGGTAACGTGTGGCCTTTCATTTCAGCAATTGTTTCAAGTCGTTGGGTTGGCAGAGTTCCCCTGAAGGCTAGTGCATGGCCGATCCTACGCCGTTGGCAAAAATGACTCTTTTCAATTGTGGAACCTGCCACTTGGGAGGAACTCCTCGGCGACGGTGATGGCTTCATGGCAGCTTGGACCCACCTCCTGCATGAAGGGTTATGTCCTCCTTCTGCACACCCACGCAACACGCAGCGTCATGGAGCTTTGCGTTGTCAAAGTGATCTTGTGATTCTTGGCTCTTTGAGTTGTCACTGCTGTTCTCTGATCTGTCAATGTTGCTCTCGGGCTCCTTCCTTTGCTCCTCAACATCAGAAAAGAGCCCGACGACGAAAATGGCAAGTGCCATTGACCACAGGTATTCTGCTGGAAACCTCCAGTCAACCAAATGCTCCTTCCAAAACTGCCTCTCTGCTCCTGCCTCCCAATGAATGCCTCAGCCTCTCCATTACCCGTAGTTCTCCTCCACTGGCCAATCTTCTCCCGGAGAATGTGTTTCAATCTGCCTGTGACGCCTGTCATTTTGGCTTGTAATCGCCTACTCCAGCTTTCTTGGTCTTCTTGGTCACTTTGTCGTCGATGAACATTCGCATATCCCTCAGTTAATTATATGCCTCCAAGTCTCGGCACATCGAGAAGTCAATGTATCACCATGGATCTCGAAGATTCCCGACACAGATCGGTCAGCCAAACCTCGCTCCACAGTTCCTATCAAGCCCACGAGAGACAGAGTGACATCTCCAGGTTGCGGTCTCCTCCCCAGCTACGTCGGCCGTATCAGAGTCTGAATGAGACTTCTGCTCTTCTCCGCTCTCCTGGTCCCCTCGAGAGCATGCTAAAGACGACCACCGAAACTGGGGATATTGGCATCTTCTCCATCAAGCCTCCAACTCCTTCGATTGTGCACCGCCATCCTCGACGCCCGAGGCCTGAAGTTAGAGTACAGAAGCGTCCTTCTCGCTCTCATCCCAAAGGTTTTCAGGATGACCCTGGTCGAGATGACCGCAAATCGCTGCCCTCGTATCGAGACACAACATCCGAGATCATTTCTCTCTATGGTTCATCGGCACATCCATCTCTCACTCGATCTTTGTCGCCCTCTTCCGAGGATGGTTATCGTTCCCACTCCTTGACAACGTGTAGTTCAAGACGAATACCGTCCTTCAAATCCTCCGGTACTTTTCAGAGTCTGCCAAGCACAAGTGGCCTCCAACGCCCTCGCTCCCCATATCCATATCCAACACGCTTGAGAAGACCTGGGGTTCGACCTGCTTCTCCCGCAATGTCGGACAACGGAGTCATTGATTACAGCAGGATGGTTGGGATTGATAGGGTCTCGCAGGTTTGTCTGCCCGGCATCTCTTTCTTCTGTTCAGTATCTCACCGTGGCAACAGCGTACTGTCTATTGGTCTCATAAACCCAGAGGCCCTCGCAGCCATCATCAGTATCCTCCCTTATCGATGCGACCTGAGTTCAGCCGATCGACACCTTCGTTGCCCTCACATCCATCTCCTGGACCATATCAGTATGGCCCAGGACCCAGTCGTTCAAGAACACCAAGCAGAATACAATACTGGGGTCCACGGCCTCAATACCGACAGACAAGCTCCAGCGACCAAAGTATTCGGTCGGCCAGTTTGACGTCCATTGTGGAGATGTATCAAGGAATGCCACTGAATACCAATGTGCCGCCATCACGCGCGGCAGGCTCGTTTTATTACGATTACACCGAAGAGTTCGAAACGGAGGCCCCATACGAACAGGAATATGCTGGTCCTCTTTGTCCAATCCCTCAGAGGGCAGGGGGCATCAGACATCCATTCTTGCTAAGAACGGACGGCACAGAGACCACAGACGATTCGGATACCCCTGCTACCATTGATTCAAGTGGAACCAACAAAGGTAAGGCGATCAAAATCTCGGTGTATCGGTACTGACCGAAGCAAACAGATCACTTTGAAGCTCCGTCAGAAAAGGACACAAATTTCCAGTCAGATGCAGATTTTGACAAGGCAGATCAGCAGGCAGCCCAAAGTCACCAACCTGCACATGAAGGGGCTCTATCCCCTCGCTGTGCTTCAGTTGGAAGCGGTATCACCGTTTACTCTCAAAATGATTTGGCACATGCAAGACGTGTGCATTCAAGCTCGGCACCACCTGCGGATGTACAGCATTTGATGGAACAAGTTGAAGTCGATGGCTTCTAGAAATCGCCCTCGATCCGTCAAAACACTCACAGCCCATTCAGCCCCAAGACTTTTCGTCGTTCCAAGACATTGGGTGCCGAGCCCAATACTCTGGGTCTACATCTGATGCACCTATGCGGTCCCTACATGAACAACTATTCTTCCGATTCCATGTTGACTGAGCGTGGTTCTGTTGCTCAACTCTCTGAAAGTGGGCAGCTTGATCTATTGGATGATGAAGAGGTAGATGGAGAAGAAGCCATTACTGCTTGTCAAGGAGAGCAGCAGTTCCGAGAAGGCTTTCCAGAAATGCCAGCGCCTCCACCCCCTGAAAACCGACCGTCCCAGCTAGAAGAGTACGCCATGGCAACGAAAGGACGAGCAGGGAGAGGTCGTCATCGCCGAAACCCTGCAACCACAGACATTATTGTCCTAAAGGACTCGATTCCTACCTTCCCCAATCCAGGACGACAGAGGGCAAACGTCGACATGCCTATCTTCTCCCCTAACCCTATTTCTCCTGCCAAGCAACTCAGAGTGACGAACAGTATCCCGCAGCTGATGAAAGCATTGCCTCCGTTACCCGACGAGGCACTGAAGACCGAATCGCCTCATGGAACCTCTCCAACGGAGACCGAGGTTTCTACAGGCTTGCTGTACTCCAGTCCAGTCAATACAGCCGTATCTGTCGAACGGGAGCCCAATGCAAGCACTGTGGCTTTGAAGTCTTTCTTTTACGATGAAACCCCAGAGCCACGTTCTCAC